AAGGTCAGCACGTGCAGCACTCGTGTGGCTAACGGAGGCCCAGCAAAGTGACCGCTGCCCAACTCGGTCCCGTCCTGCCCTTCTGCCTCTGGGAAACGCTCCACGGGTCACATCTTCTTGTTGGTTATTGACGAAGCCCTGACCCAGGAGGCGGTCGGCAGGCCCGAGAGGATGTCAGAGAACAAGGCAGTGAGGAATTGGCTAGTGGGTGCCACCTGGCAGCCCCGTGCTCTCCTCTGGGGGTGCTGGGTCAGCAGGGCCAGTTCCCACTGGGAACATCCCTACCCCAGGGGCCATGGCGGGTCTGGAGGAAGGATTAACTGCTGCTCTCGCCCCGGTTGAAGCACAGAACTGTCCATGGTGCTGCCCGCGTGAGTGCCCGCTGCCTGCTTGTTTTTTTATGTATTTGAAAGTCAGCATTACAGATAGGGCCTGGCACAGGAGCCTAGTGGCTAAAGTTCTCACCTTGTATGTGATGGATCCCGTGTGGGCGCCGGTTTGTGTTCTAGCTGTTCCACTTCCCTTACAGCTTCCTGTTTGTGGCCTGGGAAAGCAGTCAGTGACAGCCCAAAACCTTCCTTGTGGGAACCTGTGTGGGAGACCTGAGGAGGCTGCTGGCCCTCCTGTAACCTCCCTCCAGGGCTTTGGATCGGCTCAGCTCCAGCCATTGCAGCCACTTGGGGAGTAAATCAGTAAATCTCTGTCTCTGCTCCTCTCTGTATTATCTGACTTCCCAATAAAAATAAAGCAAAGGTTTTGTTTTTTTTTAAAGTAGCATTATACTGAAGGGGGAAAAAGACACAAAGAGAGGTCTTCCATTGTCTGTTTCACTCCCTAAGTGGCATTAAGGGCCAGGGCTGAGCCAGGTTGAAGCCAGGGGCCAGGAGTCCAGGGACGTGGGCCATCCTCTGCTGCTTCTCTGGGACCCTTGTGAGGGAGCCGGATCCGAAGTGGGACAGCCGGGCCCTGAGCCGCTGCCCACGTGGGATGTGGGTGTCTCAACAATGGCTCCACCTGCGACATCCCACTGCAGACCCCCCTGGACTCTGGGAGTGGGGGAGGCAGGGACCTGCCGCCCAGGACCGAGCCCTTGATCCTTGGGAGGCTCGCTGCTGGAGTGGCAGCTGCTGGGGCCTGCAGAGCAGCCTGGGGGGAGGTTACACGAGGGCTCCCTCGGCTTGGTGCTGTGGGGTAGCACAAGGGAGGGGCCCCTGCGCCCTTGTGGGAGAACCAGATGAAGCTCCTTGCGGCTTCCGTCTGGCCCGTCCCTGGCTAGAACTGCCTTTAGGGGAGTGAACCAGCGGTCTGTAACTCTCAAATAAATAAATCTCAAAGAAAAACAAAGGGGCGGGTCCCCAGAGCACCTCAGCTCAGCAGGGGCTGTCACGGCCCTTCTCCAGGCCTCATTGTTGATTGTGAGGGTGGCGGTTTTGGCCCATCTGGCAGGTGTGGTCACTAAGGCCCAACAGGCTGAACGGCCTGCTCATCTGCATGAGGAGGAACACCTCATGTGTCTCACCTGGGCCCCCTCCAGTGCTGGCCCCTCCGCGTGTCCTCACCGGGGGTGTGTCTGCACCCTCACCCCTGGGGACAGGTCCCCTCCAGTGCTGGCCCTCCGCGTGTCCTCACCGGGGGTGTGTCTGCACCCTCACCCCCGGGGACAGGTCCCCTCCAGTGCTGGCCCTCCGCATGTCCTCACCGGGGGTGTGTCTACACCCCCAGGGACAGGTCCCCTCCAGTGCTGGCCCCTCCACGTGTCCACATGTGGAATGTCCCCCCCTTCCCTCAGAAGACCGTGTGTTTCTTCTGCCCCTGCTGTCCCTCTCTTTAATATTTTACGGCATACACCAGTTCGGCTGCTCATGCCCTCTTGCTGTATTTATCTGTGGTATTCCTGTGTGATCTGACTGGCCAAGGTCAGTGAGTCAGCATCTTGGGCTCTGTTTGTTTTGTTTTTATTTGAAAGAGTTACAAAGAAAAGCAGAGACAGATGAATCTTCCATTGGCTGGTTCACTCCCCGAGTGGCCGCATCAGCCAGAGCTGAGCTGATCCGAAGGCAGGAGCTTCTTCTGGGTTTCTCATGTGGGTGCAGGGGCCCAGCACGTGGGCCATCCTCTGCTGTTTTCTCAGGTGCTTTAGTAGGGAGCTGGTTTGGAAGTGGAACAGCCAGGACAGGAGGCAGCAGGTGGAGGGCTAACGTGTCGTATCGCCATGCCGGCCCCCTTTCTTACAATGACATCTTCTGTTGTTTGGTTAATAATGCAGGAGACGTTTCTTTGCATAGGGCTTTCATCTTTGTATTTTATATTCCTCCACCTTAAGGCGAACAAGTGAGGGAGTGCCCGTTCCTTGTCACCAAGGCTGGCGGGGCCTGTGCCCTTCCTTGGGTGACAGTCCCGATCCGGCGTACCCTCGCCGGCGTGGTGGCTGTAACCCGGATCGCCACCCTTGCTCTGTAAATCCGTGAGCATGGGAACAGGTGAAGCATTTGCACGGTCCTGGGATCCACCTGCCACGGTGGGCCCAGAGGAGGGCAGCAGTCAGCCTGCTCTGACTGGGTGGGGATGGGACTCAGAGAGTGAGTTGGGACACTCATGACACGTCTGAGATCTGGGCTGGAATAAATAATGACACGACCCTGTCCAGGGGAGGCCGGGGACTTAGCCGGTGCCAGGGCCGGCAGCGCCCCTGGTGTCTGGCGTTTCTTGATCGCAGGATGGTAACTAAGGTAACAGTTGTTGCTTTGTGGCGAGCGTCAGCCAGTAGGCGAATGTGGGGCGCGTGAGGTCTTCAGGAAGGGCAGTCTAAGTGTAATGGCTTCTGCTCTTGTGTTTCTGCCCGCCCAGGCGAAGCTGCAGGTGCCAGGCAGTCTGGTTCTCGTGCCATGACCCCTAAGACCATGTTCTGTGACCCGTGCCCACGTGCTGAGGTTTTCCACAAAGACAAAAAGCTTTGAGTTGCTGGCATGCCCTGCCCCCGGCCTGGGTCTCGCCTGGCCTCACCGTGGCCTGCATGTCTATGCCTTATTGTCTTGGCTGGAGTTTCCCAGCCACTTCACTCAAGTGTAATCATTAATTTTGGGTAACTTCTTTTTTTCCTTTTTTTTTTTAAAGATTTATTTATTTTTATTGAAAGGTAAATTTACAGAGAGAAGGAGAAACAAAGAGAAAGATTTTCCATGCACTGGTTCACTCCCCAGCTAGCACAAAGGCTACTGCTGAGCTGACTGAAGCCAGGAGCTTCTTCTGGGCCCCCAATCTGGTGCAGTGTCCCAAGGCTTTGGGCCGTCCTTCACTGCTTTTCCAGGCCACAAGCAGGGAGCTGGATGGGAAGTGGAGCAGCCAGGACATGAACTGACGCCCATATGGGATCCTGGCGCATTCAAGGCAAGGATTTAGCCAGTAGGGTGTGGCACCAGACCCTTTGGGTCACTTTTTGGACAGCTGTCCCCCCTGCAGTAGGGGGTCTGAAGACTCCAACACTTCGGTTCGTGAAAGATACGTGTTGCAGAAAAACTAGGCGTGGACATCACAGGTCCCTGGCATTAACAGGAACTTACCTTTGAGTTACAGTTTCCATGCGCTGTCAGATTCCTGTTAGTCCTGACCTGGCGCCAGGTGTGAGCAGCTCCTTTCACTGCCAGCGATGGTCTAGGGATGGGTGACCCATGTACCACATGCCCATGTTCCTGGTGTCGGCTTAGAGTCACTACGAGGCAGGCTTCTGTGGACACCCGTGTCCGCTCTGGGCACTGCCTTCCTGGTGTGGGGGTCGTGAAGCTGGGGCTATACATTTGCTTGGCCTGCGTTTATTGAGTGCCCCCTGTGTGCCAGGCATGGCAGCAGGCACTAGGACCTAACGGTGATGAAGCCAGCAAGTGGCTCCCTGGACACACCAGTGGTGACCTGGCAGGGGAGGCCCAGGACACAGGATGGTGTAGGTGGGAGCACGCCCACTGGTCACCCCGGCAGGTGGCCAGGTGCTGCACTGTCACGGTGGGGGGTGAGTCCCAGCCCCTCCGCTCGGCCGAGCAGCAGCCAGCCTGAGCCACCCTGTAAGAGCATTTTGGTCTAAAAGACCTAATGTGGCTCAGCGAGACCCATGTGAAGCAGGGGCTGGAGGCATTGAGTGTGCCCAGGACCAGCCATGGTGCCTTTGCCTGGTTCCCAAGAGCCTACCCTCTCACCCCCCACCCCAGTGCACAGGGAGGGTCGGAGTTCCACTCTCCCTGGTGCCCGGGAGTCAGGATGACCAGGGGCTCCTGTAGGGGCTCCAGGCCGTAGGCCCCTGATGCTCCTGGCCCGCCGCTCCTGCTTGGTTCACTGCTGGATGGGGGAGTGAGTGGGAGAGGAGGGAGGGAGGGAGGGGTGGGTTTAGGAGAAGAAGGGCCACGGGGAGAGTGGCCCCAGTGGCTCCTGTCTGTTGGTCCTGAGCCCTCATTGGTGGGGTTAGCGGAATTTCTGTATTGACTCAGCCCTTGGCCAGCCCCCAGGGAGTGGGCTCTGTGCCTAGAGGGAAGCCCTGCAGCAGCCGCTGGCTTTGGACTTGGTCAGCGAAGGGCAGGCGGAGCTGGGCTGCCCACTCTGTGCTCCGGAGGCTTCAGTTCATCTACCTGCGAGGGGAACAGAGGGAGGGGATGACGCCTGCGCCCTGGCTGTGCCCAGCCGAGCCTGTGTAGGGAAGAGTATTCATTGGAGAGAAGCCGCATCTGCAGCGAGGGGAGGAGTCCCGCGCGGCTCGGCTGCGGGCGCATCTCCCGCCATTGTCGCCTGCTCAGAGGGGCAGCGGGTCCTTTAAGTGGGGTTCTGCTTGGGGCGGAGGGAGGATGCCCGGCCCCGGGCCAGTGACGTTTCTCCTGCGGCTCTGGCTTCTGCCGCAGCTGCTGATTCATGCTTGGGCTGCGCCCTGCCGCTGGTGGAGGAGTCCCCTGGATGAAGGGCTCCCGTGGACGGGGTGAGGGCGGCCCCGCGCCTTCTCACCGCCCGGGCCTGCCTTGCAGGCTGCCTGAAGGATGACCGCATCGTGTTCTGGACGTGGATGTTCTCCACCTACTTCATGGAGAAATGGGCCCCGCGACAGGACGACCTGCTCTTCTACGTGCGCCGGAGACTGGCATACACAGGCAGCGAGAGCGGCGGGGAGGGCAGGAAGGTGAGCGATGCGCCAAGCTGTGGGGTCACTGCCCCGAGATGGGGGCGCCTGTGCATCTCCGTCCCCAGTGAGCCCGGGGCCGTGGCTGGTCAGCTGGGATGTCTGCCAGGCAGTCCTGTGAACCTCCCTGCCGGGCGAGGGTGAGGGCCTCCTGCAGGGGTGCAGCGGCGACGCCCCTGCCTGGCAGCCTTGAGCCACTGGCCACAAGTGGGGGAAGCAGCAGTGGAGGGGGCTGCTCCTGCGAGGGAAGGGCATGCAGAAGTGGGCGTGGCCAGCACCCCAGGGGCTCCCTGCATCTGGAAAAGGAGGGTATGCGGGCCTAGTGGCGGTAGGTCAGGTCGGTGGGCACCGCAGCCACTCGGGCCGGGCAGGGAGGGGTGGAAGGGCAAAGGGAAGCACAGCGGATGGTCTGCAGAGCCAGCGTTGGGTGGGACGCTAGCACCCGGTGGAGCCCCACCCCTGGCCAGCTAGGCCAGCTAGGCCAGCGTGATCCCTGGGGTTTGTATGTGACACTGTCCAAGTCGGCATCTCTGGGGTCAGCTTCCCCTGCTGCAGATGCACACCCTGCCCCACACCGACACTTGGTCGGGCTCAGGTGCCCCTAGCGGGAAGGTGACTGCTGCCCCGTGGTGTTGTCCACGCCTCAGCACAGGCCTGCAGCGGAGGGCGAGCAGCGGGCAGCACAGCCCTTGCCCCCCGCCCCCCAGCCCTCAGCCTCTGCTGGAGTGCTGGTCCCAGGGCCCCATGAGGCAGGATGACACACATGCGTAAACACCTCAGTCCAGGTGGGTCAGGGCTCTGGCCAGGAGGGCGAGAGCAGTGGGCACACCGGGCCCACAGTGTGGGTGACAGGGTTGCTGAAGGTGCCTGCCACCCTCTGGGAGGAACAAAGCATCCCAGAGTGGAAGGGGTGGGATGTGAGGGGGAGGGAAGGAGGGAGGTAGAGAAGGAGGAGGGGTCCCATTCCGGAATCTTCCATGGAGCTTCCTGTGAGCTCTGCCCAGATGCTGTCTTCCTCTGCCCCAGGAACACCAGAGCCTGTTCTCGATGAGCCCCAGTCTGTTGGGCAGACAGCACAGCCAATGGGGCTCAGGCCTGAGGACCCTGTGAGGGCAGCTGTGGTCTGAGGACCCTGCCAGCACACGGGACACAGCCTGTGACAGTGCCGGCAGGACGCCCTGCGGGGAGGGGCCCAGGTGGTGTCCTGCAGGGCGGATAGGGCCCCTGGTCTCTTAGGTGCTTTTTCCAGCTTCCTTGGCGCAGGGTGGAGGGCGGTCTGCAGGGGGATGTGGGATAGGAGAGGCCCAGGGCCAGCGGGGCAAGGATGGTGGCGCACCTGTACACTGTGGAGCTGCTATGGCCAGTGCCCCTCCCCGCTCCCCCATGGTGCTTGATCCCATGGCAACCAGTGGTAGCAAACGAGGTGAGTGGGCAGGACAGAAGGGGATTCCATCTTCGCTTTGCAGCAAGGGGACTGGTGTGGCAGGGGCCTGCCCAGGACCAGCGGGCCATGCTATGGCGGCTGTCTCTGACATGGATGTCTGCGGCAGGCCCGGGGCACAGCGTATCCTCACCCGCTTGAGAATGCTGAGGCTCCAAGAGACGGGCAGGAGCCATTAGGACACCCAGTGCCCCAGCCCTGCGCCCATCTTTTCTGGTTTGGTTTGTTTATTTGTTTTCTGTAGAATTCTGGCCTCTCCCCTTTTCTTAGTTGTAAGATTTGTTTTATTTGAAAGGCAGAGTTAGAAAAAGAGATTGTAACCTCTATCTGCTGGTTTGCTTCCCGGATGGTCACAGTGGCTGCGGCCAGGCCAGGCTACAGCCAGGAGCCCGAAGCTTCTTCCAGGTCAAGCACCTGGGCCCCCCTCTGCTGCTTTCTCAGGCTGTTAGCAGGGGCCTGTGTGGGAAGCAGAGTGTAAGGGCTGCTGGTGTTACGGGTGGACTGGTGACTTCTGTGTGCCACAGCAAATGCCCCGGGGACAGTGCCATAGAGCAAGTGACACCTCTACCTGCGATGCTGGCATCCCATGGGGGCGCCAGTTTCAGTCCCGGCTGCCCCACTTCCTGTCTAGCTCCATGCTGATGGCCTGGGAAAGCAGCCGAGAATGGCCTGGCTGCTTGGGTCCCCGACATGTACATGGGAGACCCAGAAGGAGCTGCTGGCTCCTGGCTTGGGGCTGGCGTGATCCTGCAGACGGTTGAGCGGCCCCCCATGTGCTTCCAGTTCCTGTGTCAGCCAAGGTCGGCCGAGCGCCTCCCCGAGTAGAACGCACGGGTACTGGCTGCTGCTTTGGGGCTGTGCTCTCTAGGACGAGGCCAAGGGGGGTGATGTCGGAGGGAAGCAGGGCAAAGCAACCAGGGCCGCAGAGTGAGCCCAGAGGACGCAGCGCTGCTGTGGGGACTCTATGGGACACCTGGGGAGTGGAAGTGGATGCCCCACCCGAGGCTGCCTCTCCCCCAGGCTCCCCGCTCTGCCTCTGGCGTGGGCACCTGCAGGAGGTGTCTGTGTGGCCGCCACCCCTGGACTCCCAGCCGGGACGGTGTCTGACAGTTCCCGGGAGAAGGGAGGCGGCTGCTCTGGCTTCTCTTGGCTATTTGATCATCAGCAAACCTGTCCTGGGGCAGGCGCTTGGTGCCACAGCTGGGGCACTGCCGGATGGCCCGCACCCCAGGCCCGAGGGCTCGGGGTCAAGTCCTGGCTGCACTCCCCATTCCAGCTCTCTGCTGTCGTAGCAGGTCTCAGGTCTCTGCCACTCATGAGACCAGATGGGGTGCCAGGCTCCTGGCTGTAGCCTGGTCCAGCCCTGATTGTTGCTGGCATTCGGGGAAGGGAAGCAGCAGATAGAAGGGCTTTTCTGCCTTCCGGAAGTCACAGATGCATAGATAAATTGCCCCGGGTCTGTTGAAGCGGGGTGGGGAGCGCCAGCCTGGCCCTGTCAGGACTGGCCGAGCTGACAAGGTTGTAAAACCAGCACATGTCAGCAGGTGTCCCCAGTGAGTCACTAATACCTCACTCGTGGGAACAAGGAAACAGAGGCTCCCAGAGGAGAGGGGGTTCTGAGTTGCAAAGCTGGAGATGGGGGGGACAGGGCTGTGCGGCCTGTCTGTCCTTGCACACGCTCACTCCTGCCCGTGCCCACAGCCAGCAGAGGCTGAGCCCGAGGTGGAGGTGGAGGTGTACCGGCGGGACTCGAAGAAGCTGCCAGGCCTGGGGGACCCCGACATTGACTGGGAGGAGAGCGTTTGCCTCAATCTCATCCTGCAGAAGGTACGTGAGGGACACGGCTGCAGGTGGGCGGGGCAGCTGCACCCTCCCGCCCGGCCCCACCACGCACCTGTGCTCCCGACAGCTGGACTACATGGTGACCTGTGCCGTGTGCACGCGTGCCGATGGCGGGGACATTCATATCCACAAGAAGAAGTCGCAGGTGAGCCCTGTGTGCACGCCCAGGTCCCTGCCGCTGCCTGCCTGGCCCAGGTCCAGGTCCCCGGCTGCTGCCAGGCCCAGCTCATACCCGGAGCTGTCTTCTCACGGCCAGGCCCCCGGCTGCTGCCCAGGTCCCCGGCTGCTGCCAGGCCCAGCTCATGCCCGGAGCTGTCTTCTCACGGCCAGGCCCCCGGCTGCTGCCTGCCTAGCTCGTGCCAGGGTTCCCGACCACTGCCCGTCCAGCTCATCCCCAGAGCTGTGTCTGCCCCGGTGCACTGACACCAGCGTTCCATGCAGCACCTGGTACCCTGGCAGCGCCAGCTCCCGGCACGCGCAGCCTGAGTCCTCCCTCTGTACTCTCCCGTAGCAAGTGTTTGCGTCCCCCAGCAAGCACCCAATGGACAGCAAGGGGGAGGAGTCCAAGATGAGCTACCCCAACATCTTCTTCATGATTGACAGCTTCGAGGAGGTGAGCCTGCCCCCGTGAGCTCCTCCCTGCACATGTCCCCCTTAAACTGGAGCAGAGAGCACCCAAAGCTACAAGCGAGATAGGCCCCCACATGTGCAAAACAAGAGAGATGTCAAGGTTGGGAGCCTCACTGGGGGAACAGGGCCCAGGGCAGAGCTGGGGGACGGTCAGCGGGTGGTCCCTTCCCTGCAGGGCTGTTGCTGGGAGCCTCCCCTATGGGGGCCTCCTCTGACTTTGAAGCTCCTCTCTGTGTGCCAGCCCTGCCGCTCGGCTCACGCCTACAAGGTCAGCCAGACCTGCCGGTCTCAGGTGCTGACCAGGGTACTTGAGGCCGAGCAGCTGGCCCCTCACCCCGTGTCCTTGTCCTCAAGATGAGGCCTCCGGCCAGGCTTCCCCACTGCTCCTCGGGGCTGCACTGACGCCCCTGCTGCTGCTCTGTACCCCGCCCCCAGGTGTTCGGTGACATGACTGTGGGGGAAGGAGAGATGGTATGCGTGGAGCTGGTGGCCAGTGACAAAAGCAACACCTTCCAGGGGGTCATCTTCCAGGGCTCCATCCGCTACGAGGCGCTCAAGAAAGTGTATGACAACCGGGTGAGCCGGAGCGCACAGGAGCCAGCCCCCCGCCCCCCGGCCCCCATCCCCCGGCCCCCGGCCCCCGTCCCCCGTCCCCCCGTCCCCCCGGCCCCCGTCCCCCCGGCCCCCATCCCCCCGTCCCCCCGTCCCCCCATCCCCCCGTCCCCCCGGCCCCCGTCCCCCCGGCAGGTGGCCCGCGCTGCCCGCTCCACCCCTTTCCATTGCCTGAGTGAGTTGTGGGGAGGCCTGGCCACTGAGCTGCCCCTGCTGGCACTGACTCCGGTCGTGGCCCACCTGCCGACAGGTGAGCGTGGCTGCCCGCATGGCCCAGAAGATGTCGTTTGGCTTCTACAAGTACAACAACATGGAGTTTGTGCGCATGAAGGGGCCCCAGGGGAAGGGCCACGCTGAGATGGCCGTCAGCCGCGTGTCCACGGGTGACACATCCCCCTGTGGGACCGAGGAGGACTCCAGCCCAGCCTCACCCATGCAGGAGCGGGTAAGGGTGGCAGTGTTGGGGTGGGGCCTCTGTCCCTTGGACCCCCTTCCCATTCCCCGAGGGAAGGAGTCCCCCCCCACACACACTGGGGTCCAGCGAGGGGAATTGCCATGCTCAGGGTCCACCCAGCAGCCTGGCTGGCCAGGGCTGTACACAACCCTTAGTGCCTCACCGAGCTCGCTCATCTGGCCAGGTCACAGCCATGGGGCAGTGAGCAGAAGGTGGCTGCTCTGCTCGGACCCATGACTCCCACCAAGGTGCCTGGCACGGGGGGCACTGTGTCCTCCACTCCGTGGCGGGAGCCTGGCCACTGACACCCTGGAGCCACACATGCAGGCTTCCTGTCCTCTCCCGCCCTGTGTCTCTGTGGCTCTCCGTGTCACCCCGTGTCTCTGTGGCTCTCCGTGTCACCCCGTGTCTCTGTGGCTCTCCGTGTCACCCCGTGTCTCTGTGGCTCTCCGTGTCACCCCGTGTCTCTGTGGCTCTCCGTGTCACCCCGTGTCTCTGTGGCTCTCCGTGTCACCCCGTGTCTCTGGCTCTCCGTGTCACCCCGTGTCTCTGTGGCTCTCCGTGTCACCCCGTGTCTCTGTGGCTCTCCGTGTCACTCCGTGTCTCTGTGGTATCTACGGGAGTGTGGCGTGCGGGTGTGGGTGAAGATGGCTGGGAAGTCCTTGCAGGGCCCCTGCCTTTGCCATAGGGACAGTGTTGGGTTCTGGGTTTTCTCCCCGGGACCCATGGCTACATGGTCATCATGCATGGCCCTAAGGCTAGCCTGTGTTCCCTGAGCGGCCAAAATGTGATTTTCCCACGTGGGTGCTGGGGCCGGACATGTGTTCTGTCCAGGGGTGTCCTTTGTCTGGGACTGAGGGGAAGGCTGGCTGGCAGTGTTTACTGTCCCGTGCTGGCCTCTCCCTGGAGCCCGGGCCGGGGGAAGGGGCAGAGGTGTGTTCTGTCCCGTGCTGGCCTCTCCCTGAGCCCGGGCCCGGTGCAGGACACTGGCAGACTCTGTGTATCGTGGTGCCTGGTGTTTGTTTTTATTTTTTCCCCGTCTGGAACCGAGCAGCCGCCAGGACTGTGTGGATGTTGGAGCCATGAGGAGGCGGCGGCTGACGGCTCCTGGAGGCTGGGCTGGCTCATCTGGCTCATCTGGCTCCTTGGATTCTTGTTTGCGTGGGGAGGAGGGAGGAGATGGGCCAAGTTCCCTCTGCCTGGAACGCCCTTCCCCCCCTTCTTCACCTGGCGAACTCCTACTCGTCCTTCAAGACCCAGCTCCAGCGGCACCTCCTCCAGGAAGCCTCCCCGGCTGTCACTCCCTCTGTACCTGCACGTTCCCGCCCCCGGCCCCCCACCATCTGTCTGAGCCTGTCTCCCCAGCAGACTGTGAGCTCCTTGAGGGCAGGGATGCGAACCCTGTGCTTGCCTGTCTTGGACCATGTCCACCTGGCCCCTGGTGGGTGTGAGGACAGTCTGAACAGCATCCAGTGTGTCCCGAAGGGAGGGGAGGAGGCGCTTGGGGCCTCAGCGCGTGGGACAGGGACCAGGGAATAAGTCACTGCTGTCCCAGCATTGCCACTGTCCCGCTGGGTGGTGGCCAGAGGAAGTCGAGACTGGTGTCCTGCCTCCCTCCCTCACTGGCCCGGCCAGGAGGACCCAGGGGACGGTGTGGTGGCATACCCCTGCGCAGCACCCTGCCCAGCACCCTGCGCAGCACCCTGCCCAGCGTTGGGACTCAGAAAATGGATCCCTCTGTCATGTTCGGGGACAGCTGCTTGCCCCTTGGACAGTGTGTGGCACAGCTGCCACCGAGAGGCTCGGGCCGGCCCGTGTGTCCCCTCTCCTGGGGCTCTGCGTTTGAGGGGCGGGACCACCCCTTCCTGCCTGGTCATGTCAGTCCGTTGTCCGCAGGTCACTTCCTTCAGCACGCCACCCACCCCAGAGCGCAGCACGCGGCCCACCTTCTTCTCCCCGTCCCTCAAGCGGAAGGTGCCACGGCCTGGCATAGCTGAGATGAAGAAGTCCCACTCGGCCAATGACAGCGAGGAGTTCTTCCGCGAGGAAGATGGCGGAGGTACCCTGGTTCTCTGGGAGCCACACCAGGCTCACGTGTGTCCCTGCCTCTGGGCCCCTGTCCCACTGACAGTGTGTGGGTGTGCTCCCCTCCCATTCTGGGCTGCCTCCTTCCACCTGCTGTCCAGCGGCAGCATGACCAGGACTGACATGGCCTGCCCACTCCCCACAGTCCTGCACCTACCTGTCCCTTGCTTGGGCCGGCTTCAGTGCTAGGAGTCAGGCAGCCGCCATCAGCCGACACAGGGCCTTGAGGAATGGGATGGACAGCGCTGGCCATCGCGACAGGGCTAAGGTGTTGGCAAGGACCGAGAGTGTCCCTGCCCATGTTGCCTACGTGAGCCAGAGAGTGCTGGCACGGGCCTGCTGTGCTCACAGGAGGAAGGGAAGGGAGCCACGCCTGCTGCCTGCCCAGGCGGAGCCTTGGGGCATGTCAGCTGGCCTGGTCCTGCCCCCAGCCTGCGGCCAGGAGAGTCCAGCAGGCATACCCTTGCCCAGCACCCTGCCCAGCGTTGGGACCCAGCAGGGCCTTGGCATCCCTAGGCACCACCTCCACCTGCCTCCCCGTAGGGACTTGTGGCCCCAGAGTTTGCAGCCAGCAGTGCCTGATGTGAGGGGCAAATGGGGGCATACAGCAATGGGTGAGCCGGGTTCCCCAGGGAGCCCCTGAGCATAAGCCAGAGCAGAGGGAGAAGTAGCTGGGAGGCGTTTCTGGAGGCGGAGGCCTGGGCTGGGCCTAGGGTGTGGGGGAACTCCAGGGACTGGGCCATGGCCAGGGCGGCATCAGCCTGCTGCCCCCCAGTTTGTGACCACGCCAACCCGGTCCTCTCCGCTCCAGCCGAGCTGCACAATGCCACCAACCTGCGCTCCAGGTCCCTGTCCGGCACGGGCCGCTCCCTGGTCGGGTCCTGGCTGAAGCTGAACCGTGCCGACGGAAACTTCCTTCTCTACGCACACCTGACCTACGTCACTTTGCCGCTGCATCGGATTCTGACAGGTGACTTGGGAGACTGTCCTTGTGGCCATGTGGGGGGATTTGCTGTGTCCCGTTAAGCCACTGCAGGTCCCACCTGTCAGCTGGGTGCCCTGTTGAGGAGAGTGGTCCTGGGCGGGATGCGGGGTCATGCTGTGCCTGCTCCGTGGGCTCCGTGGGCACCGTGCGGGCTGCCCGGTGCGCCTCCCTGCTGACTAGAGGCTCCCCTCTCACCCACCCCGCCTCCTCCCGTGGGGCCCAGACATCCTGGAAGTCCGGCAGAAGCCCATCCTGATGACCTAGCCGTGCCCGAGCCCTGCCCAGCCCTGGGAGCGCCGCCAAGTGCCTACCGCCACCGCCACCGGGCTCTTCTGTGACAAGGCAGCGCTCGAGCCGCGGCCACCACCAGCCCAAACGGAAGTGCCTCGTCTTCCTCCCCGCTGGCTGCGCCCGCCCACCCACCTGTCAGCCTGACCTGCGGCTCCGGCTGGGAAGTGCAGGAGACTGCGGAGAGCGCAGGGTTGCCGCAGCGGACACGCGTGGGCCAGTCAGCAGAGGAGGGCGGGCCTGCCACCCTTGGCCATCGCCACAGCTCGCCCCCTGCTCATCATGTGGCCAGAACCAGGGCTGAGACGGGAGCCAGGGTGCTGCCTGAGCCCCAGGCTGGGAATCCTTCACCCCACGGTCGGCTCCGCGGAAAGGTCCAGCAGACAGGTCCCATCCTCCCACACCGGCCTTTTGCTTCCAGCCAAAGAACACCACCGCCCTGCAGCCCTCCAGCCTGTGGCCTCCAGGCGGTGGGGAAGAGCAGGGCCTCGCGGGGCGGAGGAGGGCAGGGCGCGTGTGGTTTCATCTCTTTTGGGGTCTTCATGCACTCTCACCACTGGACAGAGTGTGCTGGTCCCATCTCTCAGACCAGCTCACTGAGGCCAAGAGGAACTGGCTCAGTCGGGGGCCTGTATCCTGTCAGAGCCTGGGCAGAGCCCCCGGGGTGTCGGGCGACGGGCTCTGGGCAGGAAAGGCAGGCGAGGCGTGCACTCTGCCGTCCATTTTTATTCCACGGGCTCTGGGGACAGGGAACTACTTTGAGGCTTTCTCCAGATTTTGTATGTTATTAAAAGCGAGCTGTTGCATTTCATTGTGCCTCAGTCTGCCCACTTGACAGCAGCTACCTCACTACAGTCTCCAGGGTTCCGGTGCCGTGGTCAGTGGGGGTCCCCCAGCATGGCCAGGGGGCTGCTCCCCTCCCCTGCCCACTATGGCCTGGCCTGAGGACTGGGTGGGGTGGACTGGGACTGGCTGACTTGGCCAGCCATGCCAGCCGCAGGGGGCCAGAGCGCAGGGAGCTGTGAGCCGACCCCACGTCCTGAGACACTGTTCCCTGCTGGCGGGGAGGGCACTGTTCCTTCAGGAATGTGTCCTCTGCAGACACTGGGGTAACTCCAGGGCTGGCCACGGTGCAGGAAGCACAGCGCTGTGCCCTTGCAGCTGAGATGGGGCTCCGGGTAGGGCCAAGCCCACAAACGGAGTCCCGGGTCCCCACCACATCTCCTGACTGGTTAGTGTCACAGGAGCAGTCATTGCTGCCATGTGAAGTTAACAGAAGCCTCTGCAGAGTTCCCTGGTGACTGGCCTGGGACATTGGCAGGGCTCTGGGGTGCTCATGCCGCGTAACGCTCAGCAGCTCTGGCTCCAAGAAGCACCCTGTGTGTTTACAGTCTGGCCAAAGTTGTTTCAGAAGCCACGTGGGTCTTCATGCTAAGGCTGGGTCCCCCACCCTGTCCTCCCAACTGGATCAGGGTTCTGAGAGGACAACTCGGCACAGGCACCCTTGAGCTTGGCCACAAGGAGCCTTTGGGAAAGCTCAACAGCCCTGCTAGGGACAGCCAGAGTGCCTGCCGCTCAGCCAGTGAACCAGCAGGGTGGCACTGCCCCTGGTGCTCGGAGCCCCTGGAGCCATCAGCGCCCTGTCACCAATCACCTTCTGGGACGGGGTAGAGCCTCTCCCTGGGGTGTGCAGACCGCATGCTCGGGCTGGTAGCATCCAAGGACACTGGGGCATCGGTAGGGTCAGGATCCCACCCTGCAGGGCAGCTTCCCCAGCTGTGCGCCACCCCCACCCGGGAACTCAGCCTTTTACTCCACGCGCTGTGGGTGGCTCAGTCATCTTTTGGGATTCCCAAAGGAATCCGCTCCTGGAAAGCAGTTGGGTCTGCACTCTGTTCTTCCCACGGGGAGGTCTGTCTCTGGGCACGGGCCAGGCCCAGCGGTCAGCAGGGGGCGCCAGCAGCGCCAGCAGGGACGGGGGAGATGCAGGTGCAGGAGAGAATGGCGCACTTGCCATCCAGACCATTCCCTCCTGCCGAGACACTGGGAAGCCGCCCGTGGCGTGGGCCACAGGCCGTGGTGACCCGGTCACTGCCGAAAGCTGAGCAAGAGGCCCTCGCGAGTGTCCACGCATCACCCAGGTGGCTGCTAAGGATTCAGGTACTTGAAAGGGGACAGTACCAGGCCTCACGTGCCTCCGAAGGTGACCATCCTGTAGTGTGTGTTCTAAGAACGATGGGGCCGCACTGAGTTCACGAACAGTGGAATGAGGAGTTCATTTTAGAAGACCTTCAAGTGCAGGCTCTGAAAAAACTGTTGAATTAAGTTGCTTTTTGTAGTAAAATGAACTCCTTCCCGCTTCCGTTCTCAGCTCATTTGACGGCCCCTCGAGGCCGAGGTGCAATCTGACTTGCTCTTAGCCAAAAGGCCAGGCAGTGATGCTCACCTGTTTCCACCTCAGTCCAGCAAGAACATCCAACGGCAGCCCAAGTCTGCAGGAGTCCTTTCCCACCAGGAGACCCCCATATGTGCCAACAGCTTAAAAACCTTGGGGACTGGGGGCCCAGTGCCATGGCCTAGTGGCTCAAGTGCTCACCTCGCACACGGCAGAATCCCGTAAGGGTGCCAGTTCTAATCCCGGCAGGCCCGCTTCCCATCCAGCTCCCTGCTTGTGGCCTGGGAAAGCAGTCAGGGATGGCCCAAAGCCTTGGGACCCTGCACCCACATGGGAGACCTGGAAGAGGATCCTGGCTTTGGGTCGGAGCAGCTCCGACCCTTGCAGTCACTTTGGGAGTGAGTCAATGGACAAAAAATTTTCCTGCCTCTCCTCCTCTCTGTATATCTGCCTTTCTGATAAAAATAAATCTTAAAAACAAAAAAGCCCTGGGGAACTGGAAGAGCGCCCCCAGGCATGACTGCACCACCTCCCAGAACCACCGAACCAATGGGCTTGTGGCGTCTCCTCCTGAGGACCCGACCCTGAAGGGAAGCAGCCTCCCTGCCCAGCAGTGCAGGCAGGTGCAGCCCCCGCCTCCCATCGCCGACCTCCGCTGGGGGTCCCGGCCACTGCTCCCGACTGGCTCAGGTCTGCCCGACCCCATCATCGCGAGGGCATCACAGGAACATCAAGGTGGCAGACAGATTCTGTAACTTGTTTATTCACATTTCACGGATTGTTACAGCTCCATTCAGAACAGAATACAAACTGAGATCGTCCCGTCCCACAATTCAAGTATCTGAGTTTAAGAAAACAATTTCCTACTGAAAACTGAAAAGCAAAGTTTAATCACTTGATTGCTATGAAAATTGACCATCACATCTGTATCAAAGGGGAAGGCCCGAGGCCTGCTGACCCCAAGGGCTCGTGGCCGGGTGCGTGGGGCAGCGGCAGGGGCAGCCATGGAGAGCCAGGTGCCCGCTGCTCCCGCAGGGCTGTGCAGTGCACCCACGCCCACGGAGAAGGCGCCAGCTCGGGAGGGAGCGTGGCAGCGTGCAAAGCCTCTAAGACGGGGGCAGCAGACCCCAGCTGAGGCGGCCCCCCACGCACACGCACACACCCACACCTGTTTACCAAAAGGCTCTCACAGTGATTAAGAACCTGCTCTGAACTTGAGTGAGGCGACACTGGGGCCCGCCTCAGGTAGACGTTTTTGGCATGCAGCATATAAACAAGATGATTTAGGGCAGAAAATGTAAAACAGAAGGCCCCACTGCAGCAGCTCAGCACAGGAACAGACTTGTGGGAACGCTATCTGGACTTCAAACAGCGTCTCCACCTGCTTCTGGTCCCACACTCAGATCTTTGCTGACTGAAAATGCGCAAAAGGACGAGATGCAAAATCTGTTTACAAGGCCACAGGGAGGCTGTCAAGATGCAAGTTGATTTAAAACTTATAAAAAAAATCCTCACTTCCGTGATGTACATTTCAGCTCACATTCAACATTTTAAACCTAATTCCTAATAGTCTGTTTAAAAATGAATCAAACTAAAACAGCCTGTGCACTGGGCTGAGCTGTCAGTACAGTGGGGGCTGCGCCCGCCGGTCAACAGGCAGCGCCACGGCCACGCAGCCCTCACGCAAGCACGTGACTGACGTGGATGCCAGCGAAGCTGTCACGCATGATTTGATGACGATCTCCCCTGTGCTAGGTGCCATGTCCCCTTTCCCCGGGACCTGACCACAGTGGGAATGTCAGGAAGCCACACCCCCAAGCCCGGCTGCCTTCCAGCGGGGAGACTCCCCTGGACTCCAGCCACACCAGCCGACCCGCATCCTGAACCCGGAAGGGCTCCCCAAAACTGCCTGGGGGTCTGGGGTGCACTGGGCACTCTGTTCCCCTTCATTTTCTGTGATCTGAGGTGTCACATCTGATGTGAACAAGGCAGGGCCTTGCGCCACTTGCAAACTGAAGTCATCTAAAAACACTCCGAGCTGACACTGGAGGCTGGCACCATGCCCTCGTCACTGATCGGTCACACGCCGAGCCACACTCCCACGGAATCCCCAACCTCAGGACGGGTATGCCGCCCGCAGCTGCTCGCCTCGGGTAGCGGGAGCAGCAGCCATGCGACCGCCCACCTCCATCCGCCTGAAGGGGTGCTCTCCAAAACCAATCGCACAATCCACAGTTCTTTGGGCTTGTCCTCTTTCCTAAGCCAGGCCTGGCCTGCACCAAAGCCTGGACTGCGCAGGCGTGAGCCCACGGCGCCGACACCAACCTGTGAGCTGGCATTTGGTGTGAGCTCTGGGGCTCCACAAGATCCCAGTCCGTTAAAACACAGACTTGCATCTGCTGCAACTGTGCTTCAGAACATGCCGGAGTGGCCTGCTGGCTCTGGGGGATGCGCGTGCGTGGCCCGTGTCTCCGGCACTCCCAGGGCTTCCCAGGCCGGAGGCTGCCCAGCCCTGCAGCCCTGCGACAGGCTGTGCCCACGAGCCGGTCTGCTTCCTTCGGACGTGCAGCCCAGAGAACGAGCAGCGATCCATGCTGTGCTTCTAACCTTTCCGGGCCCAGAGCCTTTGCCCCCGATCACAGCGAACCACACAACTGCATGCCTCCCAACTCACTTTCCAGGGAAAGGCAGGTCCTGGTGACGGTGAAGCAGCACCCCGGTCAGAGGCCGAGGTCTGCGGATACAAGGCTGGTGACGCTCGGCTGAGGTGGGCACACCTGCAGCAGCGCCAGGCAAGAGCGAGGCAAGCCCAGGACAGGCAGGTGTGGCAGCCCGGCTCCCCCGCGAAGCAGGCCTGGCGAGGCCCGGTCCCCTCGGCACCGCCCGACACCAGGGCCCGCGCCACAGCTCCACTGGCAGAGAGCAGGCAAGGCCCACGGAGGGAAAAGGCTTTGGAAGTTATCGATACCCTGGTTGCAGTCCCTTAGGAATCACGTATGGTCAGTTTAATGAACAAACGAACATTGGAAATCTTCCAAACAACACGTCCCTCAGACGTCCTCCACACCCAGGATCTCAAGAAGGGAACACGGTTTCTTGACACGGAACAAGGTTTATTGGCCTTAGCAGTCTCCCTCCTCGAAGTCTTGGGTTTTCCGGAAGTTCTCAGAGCATCGGGAGGAGGCGGAGAGCGTGGAGGGCGGCATGGCGGCGGCGCCCGGCGGGGGAGCAGCTCAGACGTCCCTCTTCTCCAGCAGGATCCTGTGCAGCTCGTCCGCGTCCTCGCTCGTTTTCACCCGGACGAGCATGGTGGCCGGGGCGCTGGCGTTCTTCTCGTCGAGCGGGGGGTTGGGCACACAGACGAGCAGCACGTTGTTCTTGCCGGTCCGGCTGCACGGCATGTTGGGCGGGACGAG